AGAGAGAGAGAGAGAGAGAGAGAGAGAGAGAGAGAGAGAGAGAGAGAAAGAGAGGCAGAGGCACAGCCGCACTAGGGACACCCTGTATCGTCGGTGCCATGGACACACACACACACATAGACAACCACAAATTACACCCAAACTCATGAAAGAGAAATAAATGTGTTGTGTGCATTATAAAAGTATCACATTTACCAATCTGTCACTTTTATAATGAAAAGTGAAGCAACTCCAATAATTGCACTAACATCCCAAAGACGGCATTACTAGTTTACTCAGAGAACTAAAATTACTACACATTAATTTGTTAAAACCTCATTATTTTTAAATTTAATTACGAGGACATAATTACATTTTACAACAAACGACACAGATGTAGGCCATACAAATATTTCTCCCGACACGGGAAACGAACCCGGGACCTTGGTAAAATTTCGGCCACGGAGGCAGTTAAACAGACAAACATGCAAGCCCTGACAAATATGACCGTCTACACCTGGAGCCAAATAAGGAGTTCAAACAATAAACATGAACGTAGTGTGGACGGTTTACTTGCGTATTTGACTATTTGCCTCCTTTGATATGCGTCGAGAAACCGACCAGTGCACGGCAACGCAAGTTTGGCGTTTGCTGTACTTGTCAAATAGGCAAACAAGGCAAATACTTTGTCCCACATGCCATCTACATATAGTGTGCCAAATATATCAAATACGCGAATACAAATCAGACACTGCCACTGTCTGTTATCCCGAGACATAAGTTGACAAGTCTCCAAGTGCATGTTTTTTCACTAGCACCCTTACCCTAAGCCGCAACGCAGTAATTCTCACATTACTACTTGTCAGCAGAAATAGGCAAGGTGGCACTACTTTCCTGGACGACCTCGTTCACAAGGAGCTCTACTACCATTAAACTATTGTTTGAAAAAAAAAACAAATGTACGTAGATGTAGTTCCGGAATAAATCTCATTTTCGCAATCATAGGTAGTAGATAAGTATTTGGATCTGAATGATAGAATAACCTTTTAAAAAACGTAAATGGATGATAATTAATAAAAAATAATTTACCGTAAGAAGAAATTCACGATAAAAGATCATTTACACTGCTCGTCGCTGTTTGCTCATTTCAAAATCGTTATATGCTGAAATACTACTGTTTTGGTGAAATCACAGGCACACGGGACTTATCACTTATGTATCAGGGTGACGGACGGGTGGAACTCAATGGAATTTGATAAAAACCGTCATATTGGTTGAACTCTACTATTAATTCGTAAGACAGAGATAACCCCGATTATTACGTATGTGGTCCATAGATTGAAATAAACGTAAAAAAGCAATGTTTCAAACCAGATCATAGACATTGGCGGGTACATAGTTTGCGTGAAGTAGTACTAATCTAGATTTTTAAACCTTTTTTTAGTTTATAAGCCCCTAGTTTGTTTATCAATCTGGCTCGCTGGTAATGAAGTTAACCTTTAATTCAAGACAGCCTCAGGCAGACTCTCGAAGTCGAAAACTCATGAGCAAAGAACAATAACCTACCTATAGTGGCAAGTTATTGTTCTTTGGTAGGTTATTGTTGGGTTTCGTAAAGGTCAGTATCAAAAAAATACTTAGCTTGTCTATATTAGTCCATTTTTCTGAACAACTTTTGTTCTACGATTTTAAAAAATGTATAAAATTTTTCATATTCAGAATTTGACATTTTAAATTCAGCGTTTCGAATTCTAAAAACTGGATATACAAAGTTTTATAACTTTGCCATATGTTCGTATCTCCCGCTGACTGAGGCATTTATAGGTAATAAATGTTGTCGTAGAGTTTCATGTCCATTTTGTTATTCATAGAAAAGAAATCACCTTGTTTGTGTACTTTTCCTACGCATTGACTTTAAAAATGTACAGATATACTACTTTTTTTTTTATAATACCAAGTGACGGGACGAACAAGTCGTGCGCCTGATGGTACTGGTGGGATGGTAGTTACACGTCTGTCCATAACAGTTGCAGTGCAACTCAGAGCTTCAAATCGCAAAGATCTGAGGGGCACTGCCACTGCGCCCGTCACCCTGAGACATAAGTGGACAAGTCCCATGTGCCTGTAATTTCACGAGCACCCTTAACCGTCAAAACCGGAACACAGTAACATTACTGCTTGGCGTCAGAAATAGGTAAGGCAGTACTTCCCTGGACGAACTCTTTCACAAGGAGCTCTACTGCTTGTGTCTCACAGTACACTTCATTTACTAAAGATAAACTAATTGACAACCGAATAATCTCTTAGTGTAAGCATATCGATTTTTCGGAGTAGAAACGGTGTATAAACTACGGAGTTTACAAGACTAGTGAAAAAATCGAAGAAAATATTAACGTTATTATCGAGTTCTTAATAGGTTTTCGCGATTGTTACACATAGGAAATGAAACTGTTTTTTAGGATTTATATTGCGTATATTAGATTTTTCAAACAAGTCTACGTTTCGATCCCTTTTTGTGGGCTTTTTACAGGTTCCATTATCACGGCTGACTAGTGTTGAGCCATGAAAAAATTTCAATTTTTTAACCGACGTCTTCTAGCATATCGTGTCAGACGCTGTACCAACTAAGCCACGGAACGAACCAGCGGACCTCACGAATTTTTCTATGTGCTTGCGTCGTATCTTTGTATTTGGTTTTTCCCGTATTTTTAGCCGTAGCGCCATCTATGAGAAATCTATGATATTTCGTCACACAGTTAGATACTAGAGTATTGTTTGATGAAAAATGCCATCAATCTGTTTTTGCATTGTTTTACAATTTTAGATATTAGTATTTTCTGTAGAAGGGTTTTTAAATAATGTAAGGTAATAATAAGGTAATACTTTTTAAGGTCTACGCTGCCTTGCATCGCGAGTAGAAGCCTTTATTACAATACTCGTATTAATCTTGTAAGCACGTGATATGCACAATACACTACAATTTCCAAGAACATTTTCGAGCGTACACGTAGAAAACGTAATGCATCATAGTATGGCCTCTAGTGACCCGACCCCTGACTCGGTTCATTGCACTGCAGCCCTTTTCATCCCCGCGTGATTTCCCAAGTGAATAACTTTAGTCTAATGTACCTTCACATCCTAGAAAGCATAGGTAAATAGATTCTTCAATTTGTACTCAGTTGAATCTGTTTACATAATTACAATTAAACCATTAATAACGTCAATGCAAAAAACGGACTAAGTTCTCGTAATTGCTTTGAAAATGTAATTTATCAGAGGAATGAAAAATATAGTATTTATGCATATTTTTGTAAAGATTGGAAGAATACTTTCTCGTAAAGCTATTATTATTTCAAAAGTACTTCCAGGATATAGCTAAGACTTCGTAAACGTGAATGTCGTGTATCACGATATTTTTACAAACATGATACTTATACCTTTTTGTGAAAATATTCCTCTAGTTTATTGTTATTATTGATACAAAGTTTGATCAACACAAAGAAAAAATCTTTCGATTTGATTGGACTCGAACCAGCATCTGTTGCCACACCGGAGCCACTCTCTTACCACTTAAGCTACTGGCCGAGTAATTAATTCTTATGAATTTTATTTCTTTATGTATTTGTTGGTTTTATGCCGTCAGTGCTACCCCTGAGATTTTTTTTACGTAACATTCGAAAACCCAATAATACAAAGGTCTGGAACAACTGTATAACAGTAATAGAGAGTGGGTCTCAAACCCCAATCAACCCGCTCACGTTTTAACCAGGTTTTTAACCAAAGTGCTAACATTTAATCCATGTCTGCCCAAAATCGTGGGTAAAAACGGCGAATACGAAATTTGGTATAATTCCATACTTATTACAAATTTCTATATAAAAAGATCTTTTTATTAGGTAAAAAAAATGCTAACTCCATATAATACCCACCTTGTAATCCTGTGAATTCTCGCTACATAGGATGCACATTACGAATCGATTTTTATGAAGATTGATTCAAGTGCAAACGGTTTTTTGTATCTTTTTTTGTATTTCAAGCGAATCGATTCAATAGAAAGACAGTCGAATCGTCTAGATCGGAAAGCAATAAACATTTTGTAATAATTATCATTAAATTTGAACATTACTTTTCTAGTTTTGAAGGGTAAGGGTGCTGGTAAAATTGCAGGCAAAAAAACTTGGTAACTTATGTCTCCGGGTGACGAGTGTAGTGGAAGTACCCCTCAGGTCTTTGTGATTAAAAGCACTGAGTGGTAATGCAACAGTTATGGACAGGCGTGTAGCTTACCTTCTTTCTTTCTGTCTTTCTTTCTTTTACAACAATTATTTAGTTGTAACAACTTTGTTACCCCGGCGTTAATAAAGCGCCAGGTTAAAACCCGGGTGCTTGCCCAACTCTGGGTCAATCAGACCGAAAGATTTTTTTGTACTGTTCATATTTGTTTCAATAATAGAGAAACTTTATGTCAGGAGCTTAACATATTTGGTGGTTCATAACAAGACATAAATAAAAGAGGTGAACTGATTTCTATAGAAAAAAGTTTTCCTTAAATAAAAACTATCCAGAGATTTATCAGTGGAACTTTGTCGTCTATAAATCTTCATATATCTTCATTGGGAAAACTTTTCTATTTAAACTAGAATACAAGTGATATATCTTACATATTTAAACTAGAATACAAGTGATATATCTTACACAAACATCTCAAAGTTACATGTTAGTTGTTGTTGAAGATAAAAATTACCTATAATATAACGTGGTCCGATGACATTAAAACCGTTACAGTGAATACATTTATAAAAATGTTATTTATCTTATGAAGAAAAGTAATTTTTTCATCGAAATTAGTGATAGACATAACATCAATACGAGGAATAAAAATAGACTGTCTGTTCTTGACATTCATGTTTTAAAATAATGTATACGACTACAGAAGCTATAATAAGATTCCGGGCTATATTCAAAATTTCCCATTTTCGCCTTTTGAATCTTGAAATAAAAACTTTGCACTAAAAGCATGTCAAAAGGGTTATTAATAAGGGCCATTATTCATGCTATCTGAGGACTATGCTAATTACATGATTCTTGCTGTTATTCTGCCATGGCATGTCATTACTTGGAACATAAAAAAAAAATCTAAATTTAAGTAATTGTAGACAATTAGGCACTAATTATTAAAACAAAGGTCGAACACTCAGAAAAAATTCCTTCGATCCAGCCGGATTGTTTCATAGATTTCACACAGATGGCGCTACGACTAAAAAGTCGCTGAAAAACCAAATACAACGACACGACGCAAGCACATGAAAAATTCGTGAGTTCCGCTGGTTCGTTCCGTGGCTTAGTTGGTATAGCGTCTGCCACGGTAAGCTAGAAGACGTCGGTTCTAATCCGGCCGGATCGAAGGAATTTTTTCTGTGTGTTCGATCTTTGCATTAATAATTTTAACAAACTAGTGGTGTAATTTCACAAAAAATAATTGAATATCAATTCAATAAAAATTTAAAATACAGTGAATAGCGACATCTCTCGCCAGGACTGGTAGCTGTAAAGGTACTAACTGGGTGATAAATCTTTCATTGATTTCTCATAGATGGCGCTACGACTAAAAAGTCGTTGAAAAACCAAATGCAAACACAGGACGCAAGCACATAGAAAAATTCGTGAGTTTCGCTGGTTCGTTTTGAGGCTTAGTTGGTATGGCGTCTGTCACGGTAAGCTAGAAGACGTCGGTTCGAATCCGGCCGGATCGAAGTGTTCGATCTTTGTACTAATAAATATAACAATTTAGTGGAGTAATTTCACAAAAAATAATTGAATATCAATTCAATAAAAATTTAAAAAATTAGGCACTAAATAAATAAAATGAGACACAAACAGCACCTACTTGAATAACAAAAATCCATGATAATGATCCGTCCAGCTATTTCACTTTAAATCTCTGTATGTTAGTTGTAATAGATTTTGTAAATGTGAAACATTATATCTGTTTTACATTTATGAAACTATATTCAATAACGTGTGAGGACCATGGTTCATAGGTATATAAGTATTGTTTTGTGAAAGATAATAAAGATATTTTTATTTTCATATTAAATTTATTTTTGCGTGTTGCCTGCCGTCAGTGTAGCATCTGTTCTGTGTATTTGTGTATGTTTGGTATCATTCTATTTAAATTACTTGTTTATTACTCAAATTGATTATTTTCTTTGTTTAATTTTGTTTATTTTGTGAATTTTGTTTTTTTTTTGTACGTAGGTAGCATGTAACATATATATGAACTGTAGTGTTCCAATTTATGGCGGGTCCTGGCAGAATAATAGTGAAGGCTATGTAATTAGCATACTTCTCAGATGCTGAATAATGGAACCTTTTGACATGCTTTTTTATTTTCACTTTTTAGTTTTTTTTTGCATGTCAAATACATTGTTTATAAATTGGCATATATCATTTGGTAGCTACAAGAAAACTACTTTAGTAGAGTGGTAACCATTTTGCAATGACAACATAACCGTACATACATGCGGCAGCTGGATTTGTGCACGATATCGTAAAAGTCGCGGTCATAATACCTACAGGTAAAACTACGTTGTACGTAGACTACGCTAGACCTATACTCAGCAGTGGATGAAGTCTAACTGTGGATGATGATGATGAGCCATATACTCGTATATCATCAATCTATTTATACGTCCCACTACTGGGCACGGGTCTCCTCTCAGGCAAAGGTTTAGACCATAATCTACCACGCTGGCCCTATGTGAGTTAGGGACTTCACACGTTTTCCAAGGCTTGTGGACTTTCTTCGACGTGCAGGTTCCATCACGATGTTGTCTTTCACGGAAAAACTCATATGTATAAATTCCAAGAAACTCAGAGCCCGGATTCGAACCCACGGCCACTGCCTGTGAGGCGGTAGGGCAAACCATAAGGGCGTATTAATTCGACACGAATTTCATCGCGCGGTTTCCGAGACCGCGTGTATCCAATTGTCATGGCAAAGTACGCTCTATTTATTCAGCTTTTACGTTTTAACTTCAATGAGCATTCCGGGAGCGCGGGCGAGACAGGCTTGTCTTTGGTATATGCGATTCAGAGGAATTTAAATGTTAGGCTAGTCTACCACCATGATGAACAATACTGTGATGGAAATGAATAGTCTAATTTTTTTTTTGTTCCAGGCGAACACCCGGCAGCGATGCAACAAGGCTGCGCTAGATTGTCCCTAGACAAGGCTGCGTCAATACTTTTAATTGGTCTTTATATTATAAGTATATCGTTTAACAATCTGCTCGGTACCTGAATGTAGATAATATGAATGAGAATAACTGATAGGTGATGAGACATATGTTCATAAGCGATGATTGCATTGTTTTCTGGAAATTTTAAATCCAGATAACAAAGTTTGACTATAGATACTGCCCAAGTATAATCTAATAATGCCATTACCTTTACGGCCATTCTCGCATTCGGTGTTCTCAGCCTAATTACCGTAGTCATATACACAAATATTTTATGGAAACGGTAATTAGATTTGATTACCGTAACCATGGACACGGTAATTACAAAGTTCAAACATTTTTAAGCAAAAATTATAAAAACAACTAACAACATATAAATAACTTTGATTTTAATTTTATTCACTTTTTGTAATGATTTACACCGATACAAAATATGTTTTTTTAAGTTTTAAGGTTTTTTAACGGCAGAAATAGCCAAAATGTAAATAATTACACTATTCTTGTAACAACTGTGATTAATCATAAGAAAGAATTGGAGTAATTTTTAATCGTTACCACTAACCAATTATTAAAAAAAACCTAATTTAAATTTATTTAAAAATCTTTAATGGCACTTGCATCCGTAGAAATAAACCAAATGTAGCAAAATATACAAATAATAATTGAACTGTGTCAGAAATTGTCTATTCTAATTAAGTCAATGATTCTAATGCCATTTAGATATATTAATAGTTACGCTTAAAGTTGTTCATATTTCAATGTTATTGGGTAAATTATGCGAGAAAAAACAATGACTACGGTAATTAGGCTGTGGACACCGAAATGGCTACAGTAATTGGGCTGAGAACACTGAATGTGAGAATGGCTGATTTTCAATTACGAAATACTGTAATCCAGTACAAACAAATCACTTCAAATACGATCCTATGTAACCTTGTAGGGTTAACTTGATTAGTTAACTACATTTACAACGTTCAGATATCGACATGTACAACTATTAATAATTCAAAATTGTAAATGTTAAGTTTTAATTGCTGTCTCGAATTAATAAGAGAGTATCAAGTAATAATGTAACTTCGTCAAACTATGGAGTTTAAATGATAAAAATATGTCTATAACAGTTGCAATGCCCCTAAGAGCTTTAAATGGCAAAGAACTAAAGGGCCCAACCACTACGCCCATCACCCTGAGACATAACTTGAAAACTCTTATGTATCTATAACTTTACCAGCACCCCTTCGAAACCGAAACGCAGTAATGCTTACATTATTACTTGACGGCATAAACAGGTGAGCTGGCAGTACTTCCCTGGATTCCCTCCTTCTCTTCTCGGTTTTGATTTGTCGCGCCCTTTTAAGTAACGGCGGCAGAATTGTAATAATAATCGAAATAAAATATCGTGCCTTACTTTCTCAAACTCGTATCTTAAAGCACAAAGTGACTGAAATGCTAAAAAATGAATTGTATATCCAAATTCGCAGGCTAATTTCACATCACGTTTCCTTTATATTCACACACTGGCGTTTACCTATTCTTAAAGTAACGCATCCAACTTGACAAGAAATTTAAAATAAATCATTGACTTACAAATAAATGGACGACGGGTTTAATACAAAAACCACGAAAAAAATGTCCCAAGTCAACCTATTTAAACGTAGTGACATGTGAAAAGGAATATGAAAAAGCTAAAACGTTGAATTTAAATTGTAATGTCATCGCAGTACTGTCTAATTTTGCTTCGCTGTCAGTCGAACAAACGAAGACTAAAGCGCGAATGACGCTCTGTATACAATTTTAACGCCCTATAAGTTCGGACACTTTTTAGCGCGGACCCGACGTCCATATAATTGTCAGTCAATGAAATAAATAGAAATTTTTACCATCTCCTAATTAATCACTCTTTATAAGATACGAGTTTTAGAAAGTAAGGCATCGATATGGCATGTCAAAAGGGCACGTCAGTTACTAGCTCATGCTCTAATAGTTGTGTAGTATTTTCAGTATAGGATATATGGAATGGGAAATATGACACTCTAACTGACATTACGTGACTACTGCGTTTCAACTTCTCCAATACTCAGGAAATATTAACATTCCACACGTCTCACGTACCTGTAACCAAGCTGGCACTTCAATACAGTAAGTAATAATTGTTTACACTGTTGCGTGCGATAGAACCGATTAGGTAATTTGAAATATTTCCGTTTATTCAACTATTATAATTTAGAAAGATCAAATTATATAATTTAAAATGTAGATTTAATCGCACTCTTCTGTAAATAACGTTCATGTCTATACTACTTATATGACGTATATAGAGGTAGGTATAAATTTTAATCTTCTGTAATTTTATTACAAGAACATACAAAGATTGTTTATTTACTTTTTTTTTCGTGTATAAAGATACCGATAAAACCAGTCACTAAATTAATAGATTCAAGCATTGACTTACAATTATATGGACGTCGGGTCCGCGCTAAAAAGTATCCGAACTTATAGGGCGTTAAAATCGTATACAGAGCGTCATTCACGCTTTAGTCTTCGTTTATTCGACTGACAGCGAAGCAAGCAAAATTAGACAGTACTGCGATGACATTACAATTTAAATTCAACGTTTTAGCTTTTTCATATTCCTTTACATGTCACTTCGTTTAAATAGGTTGACTTGGGACATTTTTTTCGTGGTTTTTGTATTAGACCCGTCGTCCATATAATTGTAAGTCAATGGATTCAAGCGTTACTTTACGGAAGTCCATGTTAATAAAAATGGAAATTAATTAATTTGCTACTCCGGGAACCTAGTGAAGGTTAAATTGTGCAAAATAGCTGCGCTTGTGTTGAATATGTTTTTACGCAGTTACCCACCCTCCCTCC